ATATCCTCGAAGTTGACTTGGAGTATCCCAAGGCATTACACACGTCACACAACAGCTACCCCCTAGCTCCCGAACGTATGAGGGTTAACCCAGACTGGATGTCTGAATACCAACATAACTTGTTAGATAGGCGGGTGACGGGCGTTGAAAAACTCGTGCCTAACTTAATGAATAAGACCAAATACATAGTTCACTATCGCAACCTGCAGCTGTACCTGTCGTTGGGTATGAAACTGACCAAAATACATAGGGTGCTCGTGTTCAACCAGAGCCCATGGATGGAGCCTTACATCAGAATGAACACGGACCTCCGAAAGCTTGCTACCAGTGACTTTGAGAAAAACCTCTACAAGCTCATGAACAACTCAGTGTTCGGTAAGACTATGGAGAACCTGAGGAAACGCGTGACCGTGAAGCTGGTTCGGTCGAATGAAAAAGACAAGCTCAGGAGACTGATCGCTAACCCTGCATTCAACCGTAGTAAGATATTCACCGATGATCTAGTTGCCCTACACATGAAGAAAAGCCACATAAAATTCAACCGTCCTGTTTACGTGGGGATGAGCATCCTCGATTTATCCAAACACCTGATGTACGACTTTTACTACAACGAGCTTAAGAAACAGTACGACGACAGGTGTGAAGTGCTGTACACTGACACGGATTCCCTGCTGATGGAGATTCGAACCGAGGACGTGTACGAGGACATGAAAAAACACCTCGATTTGTATGACACCAGCGACTACCCTAAGGACCATGCCATACACAGTACAGTGAATAAAAAGGTCCTAGGTAAGATGAAGGATGAGTGTGCTGGCACGCCCATAGCCGAGTACATAGGGTTGAGACCTAAGATGTACTCCATACTGAAAGCCGACAATAGTGAGATCCGGAAGGCTAAGGGTGTTAAGAAGTACGTGGTGAAACAGCACATCAAACACGCCAGATTCAAGGAAGCCCTGTTCAAGACCCGTACCTTTAGACATAAAATGAACACACTTAGAAGTGATGGCCATAGGATATACGGGCTGACTATAAATAAAACATCATTATCCCCTATGGACACTAAACGTTGGATAGCTATTGATGGGATAAACACGTATGCGTATGGGCATGAGAAAATTGAACCAAGAACGGAACCAGAAAAAGTTTGAGGCTATTTACTACAGTCCGCGTGGGTACTGGAAAGGAGCTAGCGCTGTAGATAAGCTGGCTAAAATGGCGCGAGTATCCCCGGAGGAGACCAAAGCGTGGCTTGAAAAACAAGCCCTGTGGCAGATCTATTTACCACCACCACGCTACGTGCCTAGAAGGAAGTTTGGTATTAACATACCTAATAGCGTTCACCAGGCAGACCTACTGTTCCTACCCCACGACAAGAGGTACAAGTATGCCTTAACAGTCGTGGATGTGGCCAGTCGCTACAAGGAAGCCGAACCCTTGACCACGAAAGATTCTGTCCAGGTAGCCAGAGGATTCGAACGCATATACAAACGCAGTCCGCTGACGTGGCCAACAGAGCTGCAAGTTGACCCCGGGCGGGAGTTCATGGGTGCCGTGTCACAACTGCTAGCCAAACACGATACAAAGGTCAGGCGTGGCACGGCCGGAGCCCATCGCAGCCAAGCCATAGTTGAGAGATTTAATAGGACTTTGGCTGAGCGCTTATTCGGGCATCAGTATGCGAGGGAGATGGCCACCCCGGGAAAACGATCGACTGAATGGGTCACGAGGTTACCCAAGGTGGTGTCGGCAATAAACCATGAAGTCACCCGTCTCACCGGTAAGAAACCTGCAGACGCTATCAAATTAAAATCAATAGTTGCAGAGTCGGCCGCTCCATTGCGTGGGAAGGAGAAACAGATACCAGACAGGGCCCTAGTGAGGTACCTATACCAGCCGGGGGAACACGAGGGTGATAGCCGTAAGCGAGCCACCGATCCTATATGGTCAGTCAAAACTTACAACATAGATAAAGTTGACATCAAAGCAGACGAGCCTAACTTGTACTACTTGAGGGATGGGCCAGGGAGGGGGTTTGTAAGAGAAGAATTATTGATCGTACCGTACGGTACAGTGTTACCTCCTGTCAACACGGCATAGGGGGACATTTTGCTTGAAATTTTTATAGGTTGGGAAAGCAGTAGGGGTAATGGTAGCAAGAGCTAAGGGTCCGACCAAAGCCTTATTTGGGGAATAAGGCTTTGCAGAGGCTTTTGTTGGAAGTGATCCCGGACTGTCTTTCCCTATACTACTAATCTTATCACTGCTAGTCGAGTGCTCTTCAACTGGAAGTACTGGGAGGTCATTAAGTTTCGATAAACTCATCACAAAACCTATTTTCGTAGATTAAATAATATCACTTAGGTATCATGAATATCAAAACAGAAGAACCCTTTGTTCAAACAGTCAGAGAAACAGAAAATGTGGTGGCCTGAACTAAATAATTTGAAAGGTTCACTGTGACTGACATTATGTGAATTTAAATGTACGTCACATGTAGCTGACAAGTCGTGATTCACATTCAACGGTCCGTAAACACAACTCATGTGCCATTTTACCGAAACAATGACATTTTATGTTCTTTATCATGGTGATATATACACACATATACATAAAACGAGCCACCCTTTAAGGGTTATGAGAGACTATTACATAGAAGTGGCATATATGATAAAAGTAACAATATGGATTTAGTCGCATAAAATCAGTTTTCTTCTTTGAAGAATATAAACGCAGGTTTTGGCTGTAAAATATACATGTTCTTTAAATAGTAAAATCATGTTTTAATTATCACATAAATCTAGGAAGTTGGGATAGCTGAACCACATATGGCCATGTAAACTTTCACGTAGATCATCGTACAGCGGATATGCCAACAGTACATGACGTTCGTCTTCAATCTTATCACTACATTGAAAACACACTTTTTCAGTTATATTCATATTTGAATATCTGCCTGTTTCCAACTTTAGAGGTGCAGAACCGGATCTAAACTTGGAAAGGGCAGATCGATAGGAGATTGGTATTGATTTAAACAGTATTTCATTTCCATTAATGTTTACATTTTTCATAATACACAACATAACAAAATGGAAATAGGATTAGCAAACAGACCATATGACCTATGTCAATGCTTCTCCGCATATAATTCGTTATTATCTTGACTTAATTCTATGAAGCAGACCTTAGGACATTAATGAATTAATCAAAACAAAATAAAAATAAAGAAAAGAAAATAAAGAACAAGATACCAAGTGCATTTTATGTTTATACGTTGTTACTTGAATTCCGTAAAGCGGTTAGTTTCAGTTATATAATTCTGTACGGATTTTATAAGGTTTTCAATGTCTAAAGGAGATAAATCGTCATTGCCGTGAAGCAGTATTTGCATTCTTACATAGCTTTCGCAACCATACACACTTCTCTCGTCACTGTCAATTGAAATTGACATCGGCTCCCATATCTGCACGTGGACCACGCTTTGCGGTGGTAGTCGCTTTATAGGAGATATCGTCCTTGCGCTTTCCTTCAGACTATCGCATGTTTTGCACGGGTAATCTGCCGTGCTGTAAATGTCGATCAAACTTATGACACTTTCCGCAATGTATCCCTGGGCCGTCGGTGATATAAAGAAGTCACTATTTTATTAAATCTGTCAAAACTATGTGTTTCTGAATGTAAGCATTATTTATGATCACTGGTACGTTGTTGGAAGACTTTTTTGCGAAATGTTTCGCGTGTTCTGCCTGGAGTTGTCAGTCAGTTTGTTTGGCACTCTTCTTCTTTCATTTGGGGCACGTCTCAAATAGTTTTTTACCCTTAATCTCCCATACGTTTTATTCACATGGATAATGTTGAACAGACGTTTTGATCTGTAACTTTTATGGCGCTATTTCAAAGCCGTAGCGCTTGCAGTGACTTTTGACATAGGACCAAGAACAGAAAATGTTTAACAACCAAAGGCCACTTCAGAACAAGCGTTTAAAGTGTTGTATGTGCTAAGTTTGGTTTGGCACAAAACGGCAAAGAAGCCCGTGAAAGTTTTTGAAGACAACTTTTGCCCAAAAGTAGCGTCCAATATGGCGGCCATCATATAAACATAGGCACATTTGACGATGCTACTGTGTAGGAACATGCATAGACACAAAGTATGCAACGTTTGAAAGTCGTAGCTCTTGTAGTTTCAGTGCAGCACATTTTGGGAGGAAAGTAGTAAGCATTTTGCTTAAAAACATCAACAAAAACTTCAATCCAACATAGCGTCCAAACGGTGCATTTTAGCGACTTGAGCCGTCCAGGCAAAATTGTAGGCATTTTGATTGCGCATCTGCTCAAGAACTTTGGCAAACATTGGAGCATTAGTTTTGGAGAAATTTGCATTTGCATTTGAAATTTTTGAACTAATTTTGAATGATCTGCCCTTTGCTATTGGGCCTACAGCCTAGAGATTTTAATTGGGAATATCTACACCTTGGTGTGCATCTGGGTGAATTTTTTTCAAGCGAATCTGTCCAGCGGTGCTCTTTGTAGATTTTGATTTTTTTACATGACATGCAGGGTGAGTGAGTGAGTGAGTTTGGTTTTTACGCCGCTTTTAGCAATATTCCAGCAATATCACGGCGGGGGACACCAGAAATGAGCTTCATACAATGTACTCATGTGGGGATTCGAACCCGGGTCTTCGGTGTGACGAGCGAACGCTTTAACCACTAGGCTACCCCACCGCCCCTTATGCAGGGTGAGGGGCACTTACTTTGTACATACATTTTAGGGGGGGGCGGGGGGGCATTCACATTGTGCACGCTTCTCCATAAAAATTATCTTCATATCCATAAATTAGAAACAGTCCCTTATCAGACACAATGTAATGCGATTAACAGCAGCATGAGTACCAGAATCTCACACAAGTACTCACTTTAAAATAGTCGACGATTAACATCGGAGTGCTTGGAACACGTACTACCCTTGACCTCATGCGCTATGTCGTATTCTTTCAGCAGAACAAGCCTCACTGAAAAAAGAGGTGAAACGCACTTTGATGGAACTAGCAGATGAGTTGGACGAACAGCAAAGGGACATCCGTATCGCCAAGACAAGTTTTGCATCAGCTGGAGTTGCATCTGCTGGGGCTGTTATTGGTGGGTTAGTACTGGCTCCATTTACTGCAGGAGTATCCCTCATTGCCACCGCGGGTGGTCTTGCTGGTGGCGCTCTCAGTGGAGCAGGGACTTTAGCCACAAACAAAGCCGAGAGGATCATCAACAGTAAGAAACTGAAAGCTGCCCAAAAAGCAATTGGAAGGATCAACGAATCTTACTCCCACTGCACGAGCGTTGAAGGGGAAACAGGTGGTAACCGTGCTGCTGCTACTGGTATAACCACAATGCTTGGTCTTCTTCCGCCTGTCCTCATAGGTCTAAACATTGCAGAGATTGTATCCAACAGCATCAAGATTGACAAGAAATCCCCATCAGAAGTTGCAGAACAGATAAGGGCAATCGCTCGTATGCTCGATTAAGAAATAAAGCAGATGTTCAATGTCCAAAAGTGACTTGCTCTTTTGCTATTTGTTCTCTAGAGAACATGATGAATAATATACTGCAGTATGTTGTTTGTTGATAATAAACAACACCAGCAACAGTGGTCACACATATTTTAACTGATGACGTTTCAGTTGCTTCTTCTCATGGTGTCAAGGTTTCTAGTATTAGCATAATTAGTCTATTATTATCATTAAATCCCTTTTAAGCATCTTCATAATTGTAAGTCAGTTTGTCAAAACCTGTAAACTGCAAAAAACCCAAAAAAAACCAACAACACAGAAATATTTAGGTACTGTGGCATATGTTCATATTCAGTATCAAAATATATTTTAAAACTTTTTCTAAGTGTGAATAGATGATTTGTTTGGTTTGCTGTGGAAATATATATAACCAGGGAGAATAGAAGACGCTGTAGATTATCCCTGATATAGCCTAAGGAACATCAAGCGTTAGCGATGTATATATTGTACCACGATTGAAGAGTACTGGGGTTTTGTCAGCGCTAAAAGAACAATTCTTCATACATAATTCTTTTCTATTTGAAAATGTAATTTGATATAAAACTTCCAAAAGTTATAAAATCCACAAAATGTGTAACTATTGACGGTTATTGTATTTTATAGATCTATCTTTCAAAATTAACAAATTTGCTTTTGACTGCAGCCATATTTGTTTCTTTAAGTTGAATTGTGTTATAGTTTTAGAATTTAGTTATGTTGTTGTTTGTTTTTGTTTTAGTTGATTCCTTGAGCCTTTGATGTAGTTGAAGTAATTTTGTCCTACTTGAGTTAATAGAGGTTGTTGACGAGAAGTGTCAGTCCAAATTTATTTTGAAGTGCTATTTTTTAATATATGTAAAAATGTATGGCTCTAGTTTTGTGCCATTTGTGGAGGAAGAAGTTTTCCGTGTCATCCATATAGAAACTTAAAGTTTTTTATTTTCTGAACATTATTTTCATAGTCTTAATATTAAGTATAACACATTTCAGGAAATTTCATATATATGTACCTTTATCTACGTGAACATTATCTGATTCATGACGTGTCTGAACCGTGAAGATCCGAGTCAGAATTGGTCTTCTGCTTGTAAGAGGAAGCTAACGGGATCACGTGGTCAGGCTCGCTGACTCGGTAAAACATGTTATCGTATCCCAATTACGTAGATCGATGCTCATGATGTCAATCACTGTATTATCTATTCCTATTACGTGCATCTATATGTGTATAGCTACAACATTGCTGAGAACAGAGTTAAACCTCTGTATGCATAAACAGTTGATATTATACTGTAACTTAAAGCACATTATTATTTTGTTAATAAAAGATGTTTCAGTATGCTGTGCAAGTGCTTAATGCATGGTCCTTTATTGTAAATTCACAATAAACGTTATATGCTTGTGATCATTATTGGTTGTGTCATGGTTCGGATGTTGCTCTTGGTGTCTGCTTTTGACAACTTTATAAATACTTTCGATTCTACGAAGATTTCAAAGAGCGCTTTACCGTAACGACTCTGGATCAAAGGTTCTTGGTCAAGGCTCTACCATTCAAGGCCTCAATGGAATTTGCAAAACGTTTTTTTGTCCATCCGTGACAAAAGAAATGCCCGATTCAGGCGGTCGGTGATAACTAGACCATTTAGCTCACCTTTTCTCCAATATCATCACTACTTGATAGTGACTCATAAACACATGCCAATATTGATTTATTAATTTTCACTAGATATGTAGGAAACACCATTTAGCCGACGGAGCAGACTCTGTTTGGTCGCCAGGGCAGGTACCATCTAGTCGACGGGGCAGACACCACTTTGTCGACGGGGCAGACACCATTTAGACGACGGGACAGTCACTGTTTCGTGGACAGGGCAGGTACCATTTAGTCGACGGGGCAGACACAATTTGGTCGACAGGGCAGGTACCATTTAGTCGACGGGGCAGGCACTATTTAGTCGACGTGGCAGACATGTTTTGCTTGACAGGACAGACACCCCTTAGTTGACGGAACAGACACCACTTAATCGTCAGGACCGACATCATTTAGTCGATGGGACAGACACATTTTGGTCGACAGGGCAGACACCATTTAGTCGACAGGGCAGACACCACCTGGTCGACGGGGGAGACACTGTTTGATCGACAAGAGAGATATCACTTGGTCGATAGGGCAGACACAATATTTGGTCACCAAGGCAGACACCATTTAGACAATGGCACATACACTGTTTAGTCGACAGGACAGGCACCACTTAGTATACGTCGCAGACACTATTTGATTCACAAAGCAGATACCATTTAGTCGATGGGATAGACACAATTTGGCAGAAAGGGCAGACACCAAATTTTGACTGCGTAGACATTGATTGGCAGAAACTGTTTGGTCGACAGGGCAGACACAAATTAATCGACAGGGAAGACACGATTTGGTCGACAATGCAGATACCACTAGAATCCAGTTCAGACACTATTTGTTCGACAATGCAGATACCACCAGGATCCAGTTCAGACACTATTTGGTGGACAATGCAGATACCACCAGGATCCAGTCCAGACACTATTTGGTGGACAATGCAGATACCACCAGGATCCAGTTCAGACACTATTTGGTGGACAATGCAGATACCACCAGGATCCAGTCCAGACACTATTTGGTGGACAATGCAGATACCACCAGGATCCAGTCCAGACACTATTTGGTGGACAATGCAGATACCTCCAGGATCCAGTCCAGACACTATTTGGTGGACAATGCAGATACCACCAGGATCCAGTCCAGACACTATTTGGTGGACAATGCAGATACCACTAGGATCCAGTTCAGACACTATTTGGTGGACAATGCAGATACCACTAGGATCCAGTTCACACACTATTTGATGGAAAATGCAGATACCACCAGGATCCATTCCAGACACTATTTGGTGGACAATGCAGATACCACCAGAATCGAGTTCAGACACTCTTTGGTGGACAGAGCATACATCACCAGGATCCAGTTCAGACACTATTTGGTGGACAGAGCAGACACCATCAAGCGGTCAGGCCAGACACTGTTTGGTTGACAGGGCAGACATCATCAGCAACCTGTCGAGACACTCTTTGGTGTACAGACCAGGCAATATTTTGTGAACAGAGCAGACACCACGAAGCGATCAGTCCAGACACTATTTGGTTGATAGAGCAGACACCATCAGGGTCCAGTCCAAATACGATTTCTTCGACAATGCAGACATACTCAAGGGGTCTATTCAGACACTATTTGGTGGACAAATTAACGTGTTTTCCACAATGTTCAGAGACTAGATAATAATCAATATAAGGTGTGTGAGCTTGTGTCAAAAAGCACGCAAAATGTAAGTAAGTTCATTGTACACAAAGTGCACGTGCCACGTTTCGTGCTAAGAGCTTAGCTACATTTTTATATATTGATATTTTTATGACTTTTCAAAGAACGTTTTTTTTTCAATATTTTTATACACAATTTATTTTTCCCGTTAGTATATTGGGAGGAAATTGCCTCTCGTGTCGGTGAACTCGCCATATGTGATAGTCGTTATAGTACGTCAACATTGTCATACATATTTGGTATTTTCTTTGAGGTGAGATTTATGAACTTGTATTTTCCTTAGGGACTGGAAATGAATCGCGTTATAATCAAATGGGGGTGAAACTCCTTTTTTAGTTCAGAAACAAAGGCCTCATAATGGCCTTACGTGTCAAAACTTACATAGACCGTTCTACTTTCAATGTGAGAAAAATGAGTGTATATTTTCAACACTGAATATAGATATATATAGAATATATAGATGAACAACTTCTTTATTACAGTAATAAAGACGCTGTTATTAATATATTAATTGTTATCCTTCCTCACTGCTCCAACTTCTAAATGCCCCTCAAAGAACTTAACATTGGTATTAACTCATCTAAAACTTCCATTTTGTTTCACATTATAAAAAAGTCACTTTTTTTCGTTTACACGTCCCCTTTATAGTTCCAAAGTCATATTTCGTTTCGTTGTAATTATTGATGGAATATTAAACACTTTTGATGACTTGAGGTTACAGAGACATTTAAAACATTACCTGTATGTAACCAATGCATGAAAAAAAAGATCACATCCACAGGTTTGTTTTGACGATAGTAAACGTTCAAAATACACTTGGCCACACTGCCTATCTTTCTGTCCCTCGAGAGCTGTACACCTTCCCTCGAGACAGGAGATAACATACGTGTATTCCCCAGCCTTTTTACACCGTCACGACTGTGAAATGAGGCATCATGGGTTTATCTGTACTCACATTAACTCCTGAAATAAACGAGTGAGTGAAAATATGGGATGTCACGGCGGGGGACACCAAAGACGGGCTTGACACATTCTAACCATGTCGGGAAACAAACCCAGATCTTCGGCGTGACAAGAGGACGCCTTAACCATTAGGCTACCCCAACGTCCGCTGAAATAAACGAGTGAGGTCAGGTTATCTTGAAATAATCAGTCTAAATCATGAATGAGTGAGTCTTAGTTTTTCGGCTCTTTCAGCAATATTCCAGCAATATCACGGCGGGGGAACACCAGAAATGGGCTTCACACATTTTGCCCATGAGGGGAATCGAACCCGGATCTTCAGCAAGACGAGCTCACGCTTTAACTATTAGGCTACCCCACCGCCCCCTCAATCAGGAAACAGACAAAAGGTGAAATTGATCACTCATTAACATGCGATGCCCCCGAAACGTCTAGCACACGAAGAAAGACGAAGATGGGTGGGGTGGTGTAGCTGTGTTTCCATTGGCTGTTCCTCTTATAGTGTTTTCTTGTTGTGTCTCACGCATCATTACATATGTGTGACACAACTGTATCAATGAAACTGGAAAAATAATCCTCGATCTTTTCTTGAAGCACATTCGTATCGACGCTTCGAAATAGAAGAATCAGGTTTGAACTTTAATACGAAAAGCACATCTATGTTGCAGGCAGGTATGTGTACAGGCTGTAACTTGTTAACAAAATAGGTATTGAATGACGTCAATGCACCTGATCAAATACCCCAGAACTAGGCCGGTGGTCATGTGACTCTATAATACTCTAGACAAAACTCTTCTGCTCCAGAAGTCCTCCAGCTGTAGCATTGGTCACACAGGAGCTATTTCACACTCACCATGCAGGCGGAACGTGTTACAAGTTTCGGTGACAAGCGAAAACTTGTGAGAAATACTGCTGAGGAACCATTCGTTGCCATAGCTCACCTAGATTGTGGTGGAACTGGATTTCTTTCTAGAATTGATGATACCTTTGTTGTGATTACTGCCGGACATTGTCTACAAGAAAAGGAACTTGTCATTACAATTGGAGAAAATTCACAGTTCAAACATTTCATCCTCTTAAGATCCGAGCTAACAAAGAAACATTCGGCCTCCCGTCAGACTACCGAGAGGGAGATTATTCAGACTATGGTATCATTCTGCTGAAAGATCAAAATATTTTAAGGGGAAAAATATATATTTACCCCTGAAAACTGAGAGTGGACAACGCCCCGTGTTGATGTCCGGCTATCCAGGTCTTGATAGAGCTGAAGAAGGGGTACCCGGATACCCTCCTAGAACCCAGTGGAGCATTCAGGTCACAGACTGCAAGGCAGACGGTGCGTTTCTGCGGTACAGGGATGCAACTACGGGAGGAAACAGTGGCTCTCCTCTTTTGGTCACACAATATGGGATCTACGTTGCTGTTGGAATTCATATTGCAGGTTATCCTGAGTAAGTACTGTTGTTTAATTAGCGTTAACGTTGTAGTTCAAACTGATTGCCACCATCACACTGAACCTTACTGAACCACTGTTCAATTCACATCTGTGTGCGTTGTAGTGCAGGCGCAAGGTCATTTATACTAAACTGTGTTCATATTTCGTTTCACATTGTGTGTACGTTTCGTTAAAAAGACACTATTTTTGAATCACGAGTGTGAATACACAATCCCAATAGAGAGACTTAGTGGTCAAATGTAACACATGTTGTAGGTGGAATTCTTAGTAAAGTACAGATTCTAGTACCTTTGTTGGGTTGTGTCCCATAGATTCGAACCCACACCCTCAGAGTCAGGCACATAATCACCAATTCCAATCCCAAGTCGGACTCAACCCAACCAAAAGTATAGAATCAGAATGTGTTCTTTTACTGAGAAAATGCAACCCCAAATAAAACGTGTTACGTTTGTCCACTTTCTTTTCAGCTTTGGGTCGCGTGAGCCGGGCCTATTTACACTTATCAGAGGGGTACACAAAGTCCAGGTCCAGACTACCAGTTGTCCTTCTTCCATTAAGTGGAAACCACGATGGCTGGGTGGGTTAGGCAGCTGACTTTGTGTGCTAGCGATTAGGTGCCTGACTCTGAGGGTGTGGGTAC